GGAGAAAGAGGACTGGGTGTAGGGCCCATCCAGATAAATCCAGGAAAAACTCCTCCTCTCAAGGTTTGTAATCCCACCTTTGCCCTCTGTGGAAGTATATGTTCTGGGGGTTAGGATGTGGACCTCTTTTGGGGGACTTCCGTTCAGCCCTCTGCACTGACCCTGGTGAGGGGGTGACTCCTCCCTCTCGAAGTCTGATCGCCTTTTGCCTTTCTGTGCACCACACACTCCTGGTTTCCCTTCCGTCTCTCTGGCAGCTCTTCTCCAGGCTCACCCTCTTCTCTAAGCCACTGGGTGCTGGTGCTCGTCCGGCCTTTGTCCCATGCTCTTTCCTCGACGTTCCCTTCAGGGTGAGCTCATTCATAATCACAGCCTCAGTCATCTATATTCCCACTCATATTTCCAGCCTGGACCTCCGAGAGCTCCAGACCTGCACAGCCACTGGGTCCGTCCACGCGCAGTTGGAGGTCACAGGGGTGTCCCGACTTCACATAAGTGAGATCACACTAACCGTACTTCTCTCCCTGTGCCCTACCCCTCCTCTCCCCCTCAGCACTTGGTCCTCTTCCTGGGCTCTCTGTCTCAGAGCGTGGGAATCGCTACCCACCCAGGCCCAACCTGAAGCATCATCCTTGACATGGCTTCCTGTCCTCCTGCTTTGCCGTATCTGCCTTGCCACCCTGGTCCGGGGCACCATCATCGCTCATAAACGTCACAAGACCACTCTAACTGGTCTTTCTATGCTTTGTCCTTTTCAGCTTCAAACCCTGTCACGGCTTCTCTGTTGCTCTCAGGTTGGAACCCAGTCCTCCTTGTGCCCCTGCAGCCTCTCCAGCTCCACAACCGCTCGCCTCTCTGAACCCATTTCAGTTCCTCTCGTCCACCACATCCTCTCCCACTGCATGGCCTTCGCACATGCTGTTCCCTCTGCCTAGATGCTCTTCCAGCCTTCCTGCTCACCCCTGCCTTTGCCTACTTGGCTCCTCTTCATTCTTCAGCTATTAGCTTAAGCGCTGCTTTCTCTGGGAAGCCATCGTTGGCCCCCTAGCTGGGCGAGTTCTTTTGTTTGTTACCTCTTTGGTAGGTCTATGTTTGTCCCTCCCAGGAGTTGTCTTGGCTTGTGATATTACATTTACCAACGTGCCATTTACTTAATGTCTCTCTCCCTTGCTGGACTGTAAGCCTCACGGGAGCAGGACTCTGTCACTTTAGTTTATCTCTCCATCCCCAGTGCACCCAGCAGGGCCTCAACTATTTGGTGAATGAGGGATTCTTAGTTATGCTTATTATGCTAAATGCTGTTGCTATGTGCTGAGTCCTGATCTAAGCACGCTACGTGCGGTCACGTGGTTAAGTCTCACGAAGCCCTGGGAGGAAGGCATGTCATGTCCCCCCCCCCCCCCCCCCCCCCGCCGGACAGATGAGAGCACCGAGACACTGAAAGCAAAGTAACTTTCTCCAGGTCACCCAGCAAGTGAGTGGAGGAGCTGGGATTGCAGCTCTAACCACAGCACTACCCCATCTCTCTGGCTGGATCCTCGCCATGGCCCTGTGAAGGTTAAAGATAAGAAAACAGAGGCTCAGAAAGGTGGGGTCACCTGTCCAAGGTCAAACAGCTGGTTGGCAGTTCCCTGCACTGGAAGCACTTTCTGAGAACCCGATAAACTTTTGGCTGAGTGGGCATTGAATTCATTTCATCAGGGAATCCAGCAGCTCCCTGGAGGCAGGGTCTGTGACAGAGCTGGTCCTTTGCTGCTGAGTGACTTGCGGAGAGATGTGATTACTTGGATGTCCTCCTGATAGGGAGGCTTGGCGGCCCGTCTCTGCTGGCCTCCCATGGGCCCCAGGCCGGATTTCCCCCACAGGAGGCAGCTCTGTGGGTGCTTCCAGGATGCCCTGGGGCCAGTGGCTCCCTGGCTACTCCCTCTCCAGCCAAGGCAGCCACTTTCCTGTCCAGGCTCGCAAGTTCCAGAGAAGGCCCCACCCTGATAGAGATGTTTATTAAAATTTTTCTGGCTCTCTGCCTGGCTGGGGAAGAGTTTCTTCCACGACCTGGAACAGGGAGATGACAGCTGCTTTCCCAGTTTCCCAGCACCTGCTGTGCTTCTCTTAACAGCCTGCGGAAAGCACGCTGGCTGAGAGGCAGGGGCTGTCTTCCTGTGGGCCGACTCGCCCACCTACGCTGTCTTTTTCTTTTTTAACATCTTTATTGGAGTATAATTGCTTTACAACGTTGTGTTAGTTTCTGCTGTATAACAAAGTGAATCGGCTATATACACACATATATCCCCATATCCCCTCCCTCTTGCATCTTCCTCCCGCCCTCCTTATCCCACCCCTCTATGACCTCCCTGTGCTATGCGGCTGCTTCCCACTAGCTATCTGTTTTACATTTGGTAGTGTATATATGTCCATGCCACTGTCTCACTTTGTCCCAGCTTACCCTTCCCCCTCCCCGTGTCCTCAAGTCCATTCTCTACATCAGCGTATTTATTCCTGTCCTGCCCCTAGGTTCTTCAGAACTTTTTTTTTTTTAGATTCCATATATATGTGTTAGCATATATTTGTTTTTCTCTTTCTGACTTATTTCACTCTGTATGACAGACTCTAGATCCATCCACCTCACTACAAATAACTCAGTTTTGTTTCTTTTTATGGCTGAGTAATATTCCATTGTATATATGTGCCACATCTTCTTTATCCATTCATCTGTTGATGGACACTTAGGTTGCTTCCATGTCCTGGCTATTGTAAATAGAGCTGCAATGAACATTGTGGTACATGACTCTTTTTGAATTATGGTTTTCTCAGGGTATATGCCCAGTAGTGAGATTGCTGGGTCGTATGATAGTTCTATTTTTAGTTTTTTAAGGAACCTCCATACTGTTCTCCATAGTGGCTGTATCAATTTACATTCCTACCAACAGTGCAAGAGGGTTCCATTTTCTTCACACCCTCTCCAGCATTTACTGTTTCTAGATTTTTTGATGATGGCCATTCTGACTGGTGTGAGGTGATAACTCATTGTAGTTTTGATTTGCATTTCTCTGATGATTAGTGATGTTGAGCATTCTTTCATGTGTTTGTTGGCAGTCTGTATATCTTCTTTGGAGAAATGTCTGTTTAGGTCTTCTGCCCATTTTTGGATTGGGTTGTTTATTTTCTTGATATTGAGCTGCATGAGCTGTTTGTATATTTTGGAGATTAATCCTTTGTCAGTTGCTTCATTTGCAAATATTTTCTCCCATTCTGAGGGTTGTCTTTTCATCTTGTTTATGGTTTCCTTTGCTGTGCAAAGGATTTTAAGATTCATTAGGTCTCGTTTGTTTATTTTTGTTTTTATTTCCATTACTCTAGGAGGTGGGTCAAAAAGGATCTTGCTGTGATATATGTCATAGAGTGTCCTGCCTATATTTTCCTCTAAGAGTTTGATAGTTTCTGGCCTTACATTTAGGTCTTTAATCCATTCTGAGCTTATTTTTGTGTATGGTGTTAGTGACTGATCTAATCTCATACTTTTACACGTACCTGCCCAGTTTTCCCAGCACCACTTATTGAAGAGGCTGTCCTTTCTCCACTGTACATTCCTGCCTCCTTTATCAAAGATAAGGTGACCATATGTGCATGGGTTTATCTCTGGGCTTTCTATCCTGTTCCATTGATCTATATTTCTGTTTTTGTGCCAGTACCATACTGTCTTGATTACTGTAGCATTGCAGTATAGTCTGAAGTCAGGGAGCCTGATTCCTCCAGCTCCGTTTTTCTTTCTCAAGATTGCTTTGGCTATTCAGGGTCTTTTGTGTTTCCATACAAATTGTGAAATTTTTTGTTCTAGTTCTGTGAAAAATGCCATTGGTAGTTTGATAGGGATTGCATTGAATCTGTAGATTGCTTTGGGTAGTATAGTCATTTTCACAATGTTGATTCTTCCAGTCCAAGAACACGGTATATCTCTCCATCTGTTTGTATCATCTTTAATTTCTTTCATCAGTGTCTTATAGTTTTCTGCATGCAGGTCTTTTGCCTCCTTAGGTAGGTCTATTCCTAGGTATTTTATTCTTTTTGTTGCAATGGTAAATGGGAGTGTTTCCTTAATTTCTCTTTCAGATTTTTCATCATTATACACTGTCTTTTTAAATCCTTAAACTCTTCTTGGACAGGGAGGCAATCTTTGCAGCTGTTTTCAGTTGAGGAAACTGAGGCTCAGAGAGATCAAGTGTCTTGTCTAAGATCACACAGCCAGAGAAGAGGCAGAGCTGGGCATCCAGCCTGATGGGCTCTCCCCAAAGTCCTTGCTAAACTCTTGGCCTTGTGTATGGAGTATTGTCCATGGGGCTGAGCATATAGGAGAGGATCACCAAGATGGCCAAGTATCTGGTGCCCTTTCTGGAGTCCTAGAAGGATCTTATTGTCAAATATTGATTCCTGATAAGCTATGTTTCATTTTCAGTAACACATGCTTTTGAAAATGGAGACTGATTTTTGAAATATGTTGTAGGTATTCACTAGTCCAGAAGGTCTGTGGCCAATCCTTTTTGTTAGAGCTGGATCTTGTTTGGTGAGTTGGCCGAGAGTGGGATCTGCCTGCATGGTGGCTGAGGCTCTGTCGCTCCTCCGGGCCCATGGCTGGCCTCGTGTTAAAGAGCACCAGCTTCAGAATTGGGCTTGGGTTAGAATTCCGGTTCGGCCACTTAGCAGCTGTGGTTAAGAACAAAGGCACTGGGTTGGGTTCCTGTTTCCATCACTTAGAGCTGTGTGGTCTTGGACAAGTTACTTAACCTCTCTGAACCTCAGTGTTCTCCACTGTGAAAGAGGCAGAGATGATAATTAAACCCACCCCACAGACAAGGATGAAACAGGATAATGCGTGTGAACAGTTTAGTGAAGTGTATGTGGTGACTAACGGTTATCACAGTTAGTGTTAACAATGACCCTCTGTAAGGTCCTTCAGGCATTCATGGGTGTTTGTTTTTCTCTCCTTTTCCTCTGCCCCCTTGCAGGTAGAACTGCACGTCCATCTGGATGGAGCCATCAAGCCTGAAACCATCTTATATTATGGCAGGTAAGTCCAGAGATAAGAGGCCTTCTTCCCTAGGAACTTTGACCCAGACGCCTCTGGAGAATTCCAGGGTTGCTGCTTCTTCCTGTATCCCTGTGGAATCAAGCCAGCCCCCAGCCTAGAAAAAGGTTGGTCTGTGGGGCACAGAGACCCACAGCCCAAGGCTTCTGCCTTCTGTGCCTCTGACTTTTATCTTCCTGCTGCCAGGTGAGCCAGGGGAAGCTTATCCCACTTTATAGACACGGACACAGACACCAAAAGAGACACACACACACGCACACACACACACACACTTCCCAGGGCTGAACCAGTCACTGTTTCTTTGACTCAGCCGAGAGCCTGTGGCCGGTGATGCACCCGCATAGGACGCTGCTACCATTTGCTGAGCATCTCCCAGGGCTGGGCTGGGCTGAGCTTTCTCCTGAGTCAGCGAATTTAATCCCTCCACACTTGGAGGAGGAGAGCATTGCCATCCCCATGTCACTGAGAAGAGAGCAGGCTCAGAGAAGTGACGGCAGTTGCCCAAGGCCACAGAACAAATAGAGTCAAGAGTTGACCTTGGGCCATCTGACCCTCCAAGATTTTCCTACTCACGATGGTAACCTGTTGGGAGCCGCGGAGAAGTGGTGCCCCCTCTCTGGGCCCAAATCTCTGCATCTTCCAAAGGAGAACGTACCTCTTGCCTCTGCTCTCGTGGATGCTGGTGGGCCGAAGGGCCCCCAGCATCCCCGGTGAGGGAGGTCCGCCCTCCCTCCCCACATTTCAAGGGCTCGTGATATCCCCTCTCTGGGGTCTAGCACTTAAAAGCAAGGACTTCAAGGGCCAGTGGATCTGGATTCAAATCTGGACACACTGTTTCCTTGCTGTGGCCTCAGCCTCTGTAGGTTGAAAGTAAGAACAGGACCTTCTCCAGAGCTGACCTGGGAGATGGGGTCCCTCCCGCCCCCTACCTCTCCCTGTTCCTCATGGGTTTGTTCTATGCTCATTTTGTTTGGAGTGGGAGGTCTCTGCCTCTCCTCACTGCTTTGAGCAGTTCAGCTCTGGATCCAAATTTGAACCCTCTGTTTCATAAGCCTGAACCCCCTCACTTATCCAGACACCCACTCCTTAGGAGAGAACTGATGATCCTTGGGCGTTTGCCCCGACACTTAAAAGTGTCTCTTGCGGGCTTCCCTGGTGGCGCAGTGGTTGAGAGTCCGCCTGCTGATGCAGGGGATACGGGTTCGTGCCCCGGTCCGGGAAGATCCCACATGCCGCGGAGCGGCTGGGCCCGTGAGCCGTGGCCGCTGAGCCTGCGCGTCCGGAGCCTGTGCTCCGCGACGGGAGAGGCCACAACAGTGAGAGGCCCGCGTACCGCAAAAAAAAAAAAAAAAAAAAGTGTCTCTTCCAATTCCCTGAGAGGGTTCTGGCAAGAACACGCTTCTCCTTCTTGTTGCACTTTTTTCTGCCCTAGGAAGCTGTTGTTGATTTAATTTTTATTTAACTTATCATGTAAGTATATTAGCCTTTACTGCATGGCAAGCACTGCTTTAAATGTTGTACCTGGATTGACTTACTGGAATCTGGTGACAACTTGTGAGATAGGTATATTATTGGCCCTGTCTTACCGACGAGGGAACTGAGCCAGGATAGGGGAAGTAAGTTATCTCGTAAACACAGGTGTGACTCCGGGTCCATACCCCTGACCATTGCCCCTGCCAGCTGGAGGTTTAGGTAAAGTATTGCACAAAAAACACTTAGCTGAGGGCGAGCAGGCTACATGCTCCATAAATGTCACTTAACGATAATATTATTAATTGGAACCTATGGCTCTGACTCACTGGGGTTAAGCCCCTTGGATTATCTCTGCCTGTCCTTTGCCCATGTCAAGTGCCAGTTATTGATGCAGGGACCTTAATGAGGCCATTAGGGTGGGTTAACCGGGCACCAGGATGGGGTCTAATCGCAGGTGCTCATTAAAGGGTCACATAGCGCTCATTAGCGGAGCAAGAAGGTGAGAGTGTCCAGGGCGGGGTAGAGGGAGGAGGAAAAGGAAAAGCCCTTGTGGGGCAACTGGTCGGATTTTCTGTTTCCCACAACCATTTGGCATCTTGGGAACTGTCTAGGCACCTCCATGGGCCCTAGAGAGGTGGGTGCGGGTTTGATCCAGCTGGAGTTTGATCTTGAGGTCAGCGGGCAGGGGGACCGGGGAGTTGGTCAGACTGGGATATGGACAGAACACGCTGGAGGACTCCCAGCTGTGAGTGAGCTGGGCTGAGAGGGGGAAGGAGGGCAGCATCTGGCCCGTGGCCCCTCCTTCACCCTGGCCAAATCCAGTAGCCTCTTTTCTGCCCCTGTGACTTGGGCCTCAGTTGACTGTGTTCTCACCTGTTTCTTTTTTTAATTTATTTATTTATCTATTCATTTATTTTGGGCTGTGTTGGGTCTTCATTGCTGCATGCGGGCTTTCTCTAGTTGCAGTGAGCGGGGGCTACTTTTCGTTGTGATGCGCGGGCTTCTCGTTGCAGTGGCTTCTCGTTGCCGAGCACGGGCTCTAGGCGTGCGGGCTTCAGTAGTGGCACGTGGGCTCATTAGTTGTGTCTCGCGGGCTCTAGAACGCAGGCTCAGTAGTTGTGGTGCACGGGCTTAGTTGCTCCGCGGCATGTGGGATCTTCCCGGACCAGGGCTCGAACCCATGTCCCCTGCATTGGCAGGCGGTTTCTTAACCACTGTGCCACCAGGGAAGCCCTCACCTGTTTCATTTTCTTCTTCTTCTTCTTTTTTTTTGGCTGCACCACACAGCTTGTGGGACCCTAGTTCCCTGACCAGGGATTGAACCCCAGCCCTCGGCAGTGAGAGCACAGAGTCCTAACCACTGGACCACCAGGGAATTCCCTCACCTGTTTCTTCTTCTTCCATCTTCTCTCCGGGGGCTTAACTTCTTTCTCAATCTCCTTCCTGACCCTGCCAGCTCTTCTCCAAAGCACATTCTGAGTCTGGCCACTGTCTCCTCCCTGCCACCATCCTGGTCTGAGCCATTGGACTATTGCAGTGGCCTCCTGACCAGTCTCCAGGTGTCCACCCTGGCCTCCCCCATCTACTGTCCCCACAGTACTGTAGTCAGAACAGTCATCTCAAAACATAGAGTGATCAGATCACTTCCTTTCTCAAACCCTCCTGCCGTGCTCAGGGTCAAAGCCAAAGCCTACACACGTTCCTTGAAGTCCTACAAAGCCTGTGTTAACCTCTCTTTTCAAACATGCCAGATCTTGTAAACAGAGAGTTTGGGTAATTTGCTCAAGGTCACACAGCCTTTATTTTTTTTAAAAATTTAAAATTTTATTTATTTTTGGCTGCCTTGAGTCTTCGTTGCTGTGCACAGGCTTTCTCTAGTTGCGTCGAGCTGGGGCAACTCTTTGTTGTGGTGCATGGGCTTCTCATTTCGGTGGCTTCTCTTGTTGTGGAGCATGGGCTGTAGGCATGTGGGCTCAGTAGTTGTGGCACGTGGGCTCAGTAGTTGTGGCATGCGGGCTCTAGAGCGCAGGCTCAGTAGTTGTGGCGCACGGGCTTAGTTGCTCCGCGGCATGTGGGATCTTCCCAGACCAGGTGTCAAACCCGTGTCCCCTGCATCGGCAGGCGGATTCTCAACCATTGCGCCACTAGGGGAGTCCCACACAGCCTTTAAATAAGAGCTGGGATTTAAACCCAGGCCATTGGGCTTCAGAGTCTGCCATCTTTCCCTGGACACACAAATAGCCTCATTTGTTCCTCCCTGTACCTTGAAAACAAAATACCATCTGTGTTTTACTGACAAGGATATGGAGGTCCTCAAGGGGACAGCTCCTGCCCAGGGTGATCTCGTACCTACAGGAGGAGGATGGACTTTGAACTCCACACTGGGCTCTCAGTGTGTCACCCAGCGTGGAGGGCAGAGGACTGAGCAGCACCCGGGGCATGGCCATGGCTATGGGGAAACAGGACCATCTAAGAGCTGAGCTTGGCCCTGGGTGGAGGGAGCCTTGGCTGCGTTTAGTGGCTGTGGGTGGCAGGGGACCTAGGAACAACTCCTTCCTGCCTCAACCTTGGGTCCTATACAGGATCTTTACAGCTCAGTCTGAGTAGCTTCCGGAGGCCCGGTCCCCTGTGAGGTGCTGGATCGTCCCCTAGGGGACCGCTGTGGCAGCTCTGGCTTCTGCCCTGTTTCCCTGTCTGTTCCCCACACCACAGCCAGGAGGAGCTCTTTAAAAAGTACATCTTTTCATGTCACTCCCCTGCTTAGAATCCTTCAGTGGCTTCCGGTGCTTTCAGGATAAGGTCCCAGCTCCTGCGAAGCCCCCGTTTGGCAGTGGACTCATCTACCACTGACCCTGCTCTGAACTGTAGCCTCCCTGCCCTGGAATCCCTCGCTGCTTCTGCCTGGGGCTCTCGGCAGGGCTCTGACCCCGCCTGCCTGGATCTCTCCGCCTGCTCCCTCAGGGGAAAAGGACAGTCTAAATCTTCTGCTTAAATGTCACCCCCTCCGAAAGGCCTTCCCAGGCCACTCTATCTGTGGGGTAAAAAGATCTCTCTTGGGTGGCTGTTGAGGAGAGAGGCTGGAGAAGAGACTAGTTGGAGAAATATTTAAGAAGAAATTATTAGGACTTGGGGACCGGCTATTGATGGGTAAGGGAGATGGAGTCTGGGGGAGCCCCCTGTCTCTGGTTCAGGCAGCTGGATGGATGGAGGAGCCGTATTAGGAAATGTGGAGCCTGGGAGGGGGAGGGGTTTGGGGGGAGGGGAAAGGGGACGATCAGACACACAGGTCTGCCTTGGTCACGGCTATCCATCCAGTGCCCAGCACATCGTGGGCCCTCAGATGCTGATGTGCAGAGGGAGAGGACTGAAAGCTCTGGATCTCTGGATCGGTCCAGGGGACCTGGGGCAAATGTGGCCGTTGTGCTTGGGAATATGGGGGTCGGAGCCTTAGCCACACCTCCTCTGCCTTCCACCCACCAGCTCCCAGAAAGATATCCAAAATATAGTATCTAACAACTGGTACGGGCTCTGCAGAGGCTACGGTGACTGGGGATGGCCTCATGAGGGTGACCTTGGGGCAGACTGACCAGCAGGGGAAGGCCCAAGGGCGCTGAGCCCCTGACCTCGGTGCTAGGACTGCACCCGGGGCTTCATCTTCCCCAGGGACGTCTCGCAGGGATGGGAGTCTGACTGGCAAACTGGGCAACAGGGTGACCCCGTGGTGATACCCACTGGTCACTCATAGGTTTTGGGGTCATGCAGAAGGGGACGAAGGCATATTTAGGAGGTTTAGGGAACAGGTATTTATGTAGGGAAATATTTTAATAACAAGCTATTAAAGGACTTCAACACTTGGGTTGAATTTCCATTTCTTTGGCAATGTCCTCCCTTCTATCTTCTGTTCTTGCTTTGTGGATAACTGGAGGCTGAACCTCCTGGTTTAATCACATAATTTTCTTAATCATTTGCTCCTTTTTGTTTTTTTTTTGCGGTACGCGGGCCTCTCACTGTTGTGGCCTCTCCCCTTGCGGAGCACAGGCTCCGGACGCGCAGGCTCAGCGGCCATGGCTCACGGGCCCAGCCGCTCCGCGGCACGTGGGATCTTCCCAGACCGGGGCACGAACCCGTGTCTCCTGTATCGGCAGGCGAACTCTCAACCACTGCGCCACCAGGGAAGCCCCCATTTGCTCCTATTTTTTATCTTGTCTTTTGTTCTACCTGCTGGAGGATTTTCTCAACTTTATTTTCCATTCCTTTTATTACAGCCTGATGGGCGTGGCCACATTCTTCCAAATCTTCAAGAGCTCTTTCTTACTTTCTGAATGTCCTGTTTTTAAAAAGGGATGCTCTTGTTTCAAGGATGTAACATCGTCTCCTCTCTTTGAGGCTATTCATTTTGGGTTTTTAAGTTTTCTGTTCTCTGCATTTCTCTGTATCTGTAGAGTGCCTTTGGTCTTTTGTCCCTCGTGGTAGAAGCATTTCTTGACAGGTGTCCTCGGCCTGTCCCTTTTATCTTAAAGGTGGGAAAACTGAGGCCAGGGGTGACCCATGAGTTGGGGCAGAGCCAGGAGGAGTAGAGGAGGCTGGAGCATGAGAAGCGGGGAAGGCAGCCCAGCCTTGCACCCTGCTGGTCCTGGCTGGGGGGAGGTGGAGATGCCAGTGGAGAGGAGGAGGCCCCAGACCAGAAGGGCCGTTCTCCGCCAGCCCTTACCGAGTGGTTGCCGTGGCCCAGCCGTGTGTGGGAGGCTGTGGTCAGGGAGGGGAGAGTGCTGGCAGGGTGGATGGCTGGGCTGGCTTCCCTCTCCCAGCACAGTGGGCCAGGCCAGCCTCCCTGGTGTGCTGGCCAGAGGGAGGGTGGCGGGGGGAAGTCTGGCGCCTGCTCCTGTCCCAGGCACTGTGTGCTGCAGTTCTTGCCCTGATAACCCCTGACCTGGCACGCGACCAGCCGGCTCTACCAAGCGCTTGCCCTGGCACCTTCCCTGTCCCCAGGCACCAGGGGGCGTGTGTGTGTTCATGTGCACTTTAAATGGACTTTAACCCCAGTTGTCCCCCTTGAGATTTGCTGGCTGGTCATGGCCTTGGGGACAGAAGATCCTAGAAGGATTCAGGTCCTGGTTCTATATGCCCTGGGCCTCAGTTTTCCCATCTGTCCAATGAGAGGGGTCAGATGCCCCCCCCCACCCCCCGCAAGGAGTTGGTAAGGTCCTGCCCAGGGTTGTCCATCACCCTCATTGTTTTGTCCCCAGGAAGCGGGGCATCACCCTCCCTGCCGACACACCAGAGGAGCTGCAGGACATCATCGGCATGGACAAGCCGCTCAGCCTCCCGGGCTTCCTGGCCAAGTTCGCCTACTACATGCCCGCCATCGCGTAAGTCTTCCCACCCGCCCTGAACCTTGGGCGGCATCGGTCCCTGTGCCCACATCGGGCTGCCTGCACACCTCAGCCTGTGGGGTGGGAGAAGGCGCTGTATAACCCTGCTCTGCCTCTCACCATTGTGTGCACTCCTGCGAATCTCTCCATGCATTTGGGCCTCGGTTTTCCCTTCTGGAAAATGGGTATGATGGCCGAACCTCCTTCAACTTCTATAGGAAAGTCACAGAATGTGGGGGTTAAGAACATAGATCCTAGTATCAGATTCTTTCAAGAAATAACTTCGACGCTGGGCAAATTTGCCCTCTCTGGGCCTCAGTTCCCTTATCTAGACAATGGGGCTTATGACCCTCTCTACCTCCTAGGGCTGGGGTTTGGAATGGACACAGCACTGTCCTCAGCAAGCCTCCTCTTACTAGGAGGACAATTGCTACCTGTATCGACAGCTAGGCACTGCTGTTTTTATGTTACTTTTCATTCCTTCCATTTTTTGATAGCAGAATATCTTAGATATAGAAGAATATAATGTGTGTACAGTTCACAGAACTATTCTCTTCGTAGCTGTCCACAGTCCTGTGAGCTAGACACACTCCTCATTTGCAGAGGAGGAAATGAAGGCTCAGGAAAGTGAAGGAACTTGCCCAGGACCACACAGCTGGCAAGGGGTGAAGCCCAGATTCTCGTCCTGATGTCGCCTTGAGCCTCCTGGCACGAGGCAGAGTTTCCCAAGGCAGGCGAGAATGGGGCCTTGGCGGTCAGTGCTGCCAGAGCTCAGGAGGGGGAAGATGTAGAGGGGGCTGGAGGAGTCAGGGAAGGCTGCCTGGAGGAGAAAGTGTGGACTGGGCCTTGGGAGAGAAAGGCTGTGATATTGTCCAGAGGGCTGGACCTGAGGAACAGTCTGGAGGATGGGTTGTTGGAGGACGAGTGAGGAAGGTGTGTGAGGTCGGTGGAGGCCTTTGGCTGGGTAAGTGGCAGGACAGGAATGAGGAGTCCTGGGGAAGGAAGACGTATGCCAAGGCTGCTGGCTGCTTTCTGGAAGCTTCTGGGCTCTGCCTGGAAGGCATCGACTGCCCCCATCCTTGGCCTGGGTCAGCAGATGGTCTGGCATACATGCTGCCTCTCCCCCGGACGAGGAGCGTCTCCCACGCCACTGCCCAGGTGGCTCCTGTCTCTGGGCCACAAGACAGAAGAGGACCAGCTTCCTGAAGGCTTAAGCCACTTTTGATTTGCATTTCGTTGGTCAGTAGTGACGTCAGGCACCATTTCACGGGCCTGTTGGCCATTTGTATGTCTTTTGAGAAATGTCTATTCAGGTCCTTTGCCTACTTTTTATCAATTTTTGTTGTTTGTTTTGCTACTGAATCATAGGAGTTCCTTCCACATCTTGGGTGTTAGCCCCTTATCAGACGTGTGGTTTGCAAATATTTTCTCCCATTGGTAGGTTGCCTGTCACTCTGTTGATGGTTTCCTTTGCTGTGTAGAAGCTCTTTAGTTGGTGCAGTCCCCCTTGTCTATTTCGGCTTTTTGTTGCCTGCGTGTGTCCTTTTCTCCTATTTCTCCTCCCTGCTGGCCTACACCTGTCACTCAACAAATATTTCAGTGGCTGCAATGTCCTAGGCTGAGGGATCGTAGCCGACGAGACAGAGGGAGGGGTCCTTGTCTCATGGAGACTACGTTCTAGTTGGGGAGGTGAAAGCCAGCTAATAAAGAAACCACGTGATCTGTGATGTCGAGTGGTGAGAAGGGCCATGGAGAAAACTGAAGCCCAGGGGAAGAGGTGAAAAAGGGTGAGGAGATGTTTTAAAATGAGGTGGTCAGGGCTTCCCTGGTGGCGCAGTGGTTGAGAGTCCACCTGCCGATGCAGGGGACACGGGTTTGTGCCCCGGTCCGGGAGGATTCCACATGCCGCGGAGTGGCTGGGCCCGTGGGCAATGGCCGCTGGGCCTGCGCGGCTGGAGCCTGTGCTCCGCAACGGGAGAGGCCACAACAGTGAGAGGCCCGCGTACTGCCAAAAAAAAAATAAATAAATAAAAAATAAATTAAAAAAATAAGGTGGTCAGGGAAGGCTTCCCCGAGGAGGTGAGGCTGGAGGCGGGCTCTGAATGCAGGGAGGAGGGAGCATAGGGTGATCTGGGTGAAGAGCCTGCAGGCTGGGGTGCTGCAAACACGAAGGCCCTGACGTGGGAACAAGCTTGGTTGTTCGCTGGACAGAAAGAAGACCCTGGAGGAGTCATGGAAGGAGCGGGAGGCTGGCAAGGGCCCAGATTACGCAGGCCTTGTGGGGGGTTGGGAGGTGGGGTTGAGACTTACTCTATGAGGTGGGAGGCCATTAGGGTTCAGAGTGGAGGAGTGATGTTGATTTCCTTTTTTTTTTTTTGCCCACGCTGCACAGCTTGTGGGATTTTAGTGCCCCGACCAGGGATTGAACCCGGGCCCTGAGCAGTGAGAGCGTGAAGTCCTAACCACTGGACTGCCAGGGAATTCCCTCTTTGATTTCCATTTTTAAAAGACTGAGCTAGCTGCTCTACAGGGGCAAGCGTGGAGACCAGGAGGCCAGTTAGAGAGGTGAGGTGGTTAGAACCAGGGCGGAGGGGGCGAGAACTGGCATCGAGTTTGGAAGCAGAGCTGACAGGACGTGCTGTGCTTCTAGGATTTTCCCCAGCAGACGCCCGGGGCTTTGGGCTGGGTGATGAGAGATTGGGGGGGCCACACATGGGTTTGATCTGCTATGGGCAGGGGACAGCTTTGTTATTCCTGGAGCTCCCAAGGGCCTTGGGGCAGTTTGTCCCCAGCCACTCTCTTCCCTTCCCAGGGGCTGCCGGGAGGCCATCAAAAGGACTGCCTACGAGTTTGTGGAGATGAAGGCCAAGGAGGGCGTGGTGTACGTGGAGGTGCGCTACAGCCCGCACCTGCTGGCCAACTCCAAAGTGGAGCCGATCCCCTGGAACCAGGCTGAGTGAGTGACCGTCTGGAGGGCTGTGCTGGTGCTGTGGCAGGGTGGCCTGACCCAAGACCGCGAGGGGCAGCCTGGGAGGCCGTGGCCCAGGCAAGACTTCGGTCTGGCTCCCTGAACTGGCCCACAGCTCATCCAGTGACTCTTAGGGGTCCTATCCTAACCCTGCAACCAAAGTGAGTTTGGCCCACTCCTGCCCCTCTGCCTGGACCCCAGGGATGTCTAAGCGGTACCACTCAACCACCTTGCTCCCTTCTAGCCATGACTCTGATACTTGTGGACAAGTGGGAATCACAACAGGTGAGCTTAGCTTAGCAGTGCTCTCCATCTTGGTGGGAGGAGGGCTGTGTCTGACAAGCCCCCTAACTGGGACAGTCTTCGCAGGTCTGGAAGCGTCCAGGCAGTTCCAAGGAAGCTGGAAGGGGGTGCGCTAGGGCTTGGGGCTATCTCCCTCGTCCTTTCCTCAGAGGCAGTGGATTAGTGGGGCTGAGGGCTTCTCCTGGAAGACCCCTCTTCCTCCTCTTTCTCTCCTCCTTTCCTTCCCCTCTTTACTCCCCCGCCTCCCCTCCCTCCTCTGTCCCAGTCCCAGGGCTGTCCTTTAGGTCTGTCTTTGCCTCAGGCCCACCCCTACTCTTCTCTGCACACAGAGGGGACCTCACCCCGGATGAGGTGGTGTGTCTAGTGAACCAGGGCCTGCAAGACGGAGAGCGAGACTTCGGGGTGAAGGTGCGGTCCATCCTGTGCTGCATGCGCCACCAGCCCAGTGAGTGTGACCTTGGCCCTGTCCCTGGCTGCCCATCTGATGCCACCACAACCTCCTGGCCGGGCACAGGGGCCATACCAGTCCCCATGGTCTCTCTTGAGCCCATCAGTTGGACCTCGGGTCTTCCTCCTGGGCAAGCTCGGACCTTCCTGCAACAGAATTTTCTCCCCAGGGAGGCTGAGCCTGGGAGCCACATGACCTGCAGGAGGCTTAAAGTCAAGGGAGGCTGAACGACAGAGAAAAGCCTAAGCCTGGTTCCTGTCAGGCCGCAGTCCTCCCTCGAGACCCTGTGGGCCAGGCCCCCTCCTGTCAGGGCTGTGGAACCTGGGACTAGGTCTCAGCGCCAGGGCCTGAGGGGTCTCCCTGTGACCGACACTGGTCACATCTCCAGGGCTTGTGCTTCCAAGGCAGAGCCCCGCTGTGTGACTCTCTCCAGGTCACATCACCTCTCTGGATCTCAGACGTGCCTTGTCACAGGAGGTGATCATAGTTACCCCATTCTCTGCTCTAAGGAGTAGTGAGCCCACGGTGAGGGGCTAGTGTCAACCTGCAGGGCCTCCCTGTGCAGAGTGGCTTGGGGTATTTTCTCTAATCCTCACAGGGGTCTAGGAGACAGGAGCACCATCGTTTATCCCCATTTGACAGATGAGGAAACTGAGGTAGAGAGAGGCTCAATCAGGAAGGCACAAAGCCCGGAGCAGAACCCAGGGCCATCTGGTTCCAAAGCCTGTGGTCGGTCATTCTTTTTAAAACACTTTACAGTGACCAACGTTAGCAATGTGTTTAGTAACACTAGTGGGAGCTGTTTTAGGTTTAAATGTTAAACTGTGCGGACCTCCATCTCATCTGCCAAGTTGAGGGTGGGCGTGGGGATTGAGAGAGAATTGCTATTTGTCGTTTACCGAGCCCAGGCCCTGACCTCGCTGTCTCACACGTGCGGCCTCGGCAAAGCCTTGCTGTGACCGTGAGCCACAGCACACAGCCCCCCTCTGCGAGGAGAGGATGCTGAGGTCCCGAAGGCCGCGGGGTCAGACCTTTGAAGATGGGACACTGGGCCTTGTGCTGGCCTTGGGTGGGAGGGCTGGGAGGGTCTCTCTCCTCTGTGCTGCTGCCAGAGGCCCGGCGGGCATCTCGCCCACAGGCTGGTCCCCCGAGGTGGTGGAGCTGTGTAAGAAGTACCAGCAGCAGACCGTGGTGGCCATCGACCTGGCCGGAGATGAGACCATCCAAGGCAGCACCCTCTTCCCTGAACATGTGCAGGCCTACGCGGTGGGTCCTGGGGGACGGAGGCAGAGGAGAGGCTGGCTCTGGGGGAACCCTGTGGGGAGCTGGTCTCTATACCAGTAGCAGGAAGGCACACCGACGGGGGATCACGAGGCCTCCTGGGCTCCCAAGTGCATGTGACTGGGTCTAGGAGCTCTAGAAGTTGGGAATCTGGTAGGAAAGAAAAAACCCCACTTGGTGCTGGAGGGTCCTGTGTTGGAGCCTTTCGGCCTAATGATTTGCTGTGTGACCTTGGGCGAGACTGTCTCTTCTCTGGGCCTGTTTCATCTGCTGGGATGACTGGGTTGGAGCAGACGTCTCGAAGCCTCATGCTGTGCTTCCCGTGGAAGGGGTGAAGCATGGGGTGGAGAGTTAGGGGCTCTGGAATCCCTTCCTAGCGGTCTGACCCTGGTCATGATACCTAATTCTCCTGAGTTTCAGTCCCTCCCCGCTCCCTGTAAGATAGGTATTAGAGCAGTTGTGAATATGACGTAAGGTGTCTAAACCATTTCCTACAGTGTCTGACTCGTAATAACTGTCTAATAAAGGAGGGCTACCACTTAAATGATTACAAAACCGAAACCCACCCGACCTCCCTGTCTGGGAGCCAGCCAGGCTGACTCAGCCCCAGAGTAGTGAAGGCAGGGCCTGCGGGGCCGAGCCCCAGGCCACCCCTGACCAAGCCCTCGCCCTTACAGGAGGCCGTGAAGAGCGGCGTCCACCGCACGGTCCACGCCGGGGAGGTGGGCTCGGCCGAGGTGGTGAGAGAGGTGAGTGGCTAGGCAGGCGGTGGGGCCCTTCTCCCCGCTCGCCCCGCAGCCCGTGCTGGGCTCCACACTGCTTGTCAACAGGCCGTGGACGTGCTCAAGACCGAGAGGCTGGGGCACGGCTACCACACTCTGGAGGACCCGGCCCTCTACAACAGGCTGCGGCAGGAAAACATGCACTTCGAGGTGAGGGGCTGGGGAGGGGAGGTCAGGGGAGCGGAGGAGCGCATGGAGGGTCCAGCAGCCGCGGGGAGCGTGGGCCGCGGGCCTTGGAGCTGCTGGGTGGGGGGAGGAAGGCAGGACTGACGGCTCCTGGGACTCGGCTGCGAGGGGGCCGCTGTGACCGGGGCGAGAACGGCGCCGGAGGAGGTGGCGCCAGCTGGCCTGGGGACGGGGGTCAGCGTGGCCCTGGGGGCTTCATGCCAGCCACCCGCCTGCTCTTCCAGGTCTGCCCCTGGTCCAGCTACCTCACCGGCTCCTGGAAGCCAGGCACGGAGCATGCAGTCGTTCGGTGAGGCCGGGTCCCCTGGGCTCCGTTCAGTTTTGTACTAGGAAAGCCAAGGGTGGGAAGGGGATGCAGGGACTGGGCGCTGGTCCCTGCGGGGTCTCCTGGGTGTGAAAGCTCTTCAAATGCTTGGGAAGCGGGCGCTATTGTCCTCGTCTTACAAGTGAGGAAGCCAAAGTCTGGATGTGGTGTAACTTGATCATGAGGCCACCCAGCCTTTGGATAGCACCGCTGGGGGCCCCGTAGCTCATCCAGCTATAGCAGAATGCCCTGCTACCTCAAAGGAAACTTCCCCACTCCAGATTCCACCTCCTAGGAATTAGGAAGATGAGTCTCTCTTGCTCACGTGGTCTCTGCTCCTGGCCCCTCTGGGCATTCCCCCAGCACATCCTGAAGCTTTCCCCAGGAGAGCCTGTCCCGTCCCACCCCACCCCGATGCTGCCCCATAGGCTTACCTAAGAAGCTTTGACCCTTCTTCAGGTTGCCCTGGGACTGAGCCCTGGGCGAGGCCTCAGGAGGGAAAAGCTGACCCAGAAGTTCACTAAGAACTCGGGGTGACCATATTCAGGCCAGCACTGAGGTCTGTCCGCCAAGCTTACGAGAAGGAGAGGAGCTTGGGCTCGCTCACACTCTGATTACAAGGCGGGCCCGAGCTGCTTTAGGAGTGTGGAGTGTGCAGTACCTACAGGACACCCAAGTGGAGGCTCTTGGAGGCATGTGGGCATACAGCCTGTGGGCTGGAGAAAGACTCAGAGTCACCTAGAGATACGGTGGTTGAAGGAGAAGTGATGGCCTCAGCAGACGAAGGAGCACGAGGGCCTAGGATTCTGGTAACTGACTGTACTGCTGAACTGAATGAATAAGCATTTTCAGAACTCTAATGGAAAACTGATGAATTCATAAAAGTGCTAACAAAAGATCAAGGTAAACAAAATTACATGGGACTGAGTGAACTGATGAGGATGATTATAATTTTTGTGATTTTCTGTTTGAATAAAAAAAAAAGAGGGCCTAGGAGAGAATCCAGGACAGTGACATTGAAGGTACAGGCAGGAGGAAAGCCAAGAGTGCGTGTCCAAGAAATCTAGGGAAAAGGTCAACAGTATAAAATTCTGCTCCGCAAGTCGGGTGAGGTTAGAGCTACGAAAAGTCCATTGGATTTAATAAGATGGTGGTCAGGGATTATGCTAAGAACAGTCCCCATGGTGTCTGAAGAGTCAGATCCCAGGGGGGCTGAGGACGGTTGGTGAAGGGGCAGACGACTCGCAGAGTGCGGCTGTGGAGGGCAGGGCCAGAGAGGGGTTAGCTAGAGCGGGCTGTTGCTTTTCTGGCCTCGCCAAGCCGGCCCCTCTCCTGCCTTTGCCTGGCTCTGGCCTGGCTGGATGGCTTTAAGTCTTGAGTTGCTAGTAATGTGGCCTTGGACAAGTCACCCGAGTTCCCTGAACTTGTGTCTTCCTCTGTACAACGAGGAGAACCTCCAGGCCTGTCTAAGGGTGCCGCGCGGTTCAAAGGAGTGTGGATGTCCACGTGCAGAGACTTTACACAGCAGTAATGGGAGGCGCTTCTCCCCCTCCCCCCCACCCCCCTGCATTGTCCAGGTTCAAAAACGACCAGGCTAATTACTCCCTCAACACGGATGACCCACTCATCTTCAAGTCCACCCTGGACACTGATTACCAGATGACCAAACAGGACATGGGCTTCACTGAAGAGGAGTTTAAGAGACTGGTGAGTGGGTGTGTGCCTTGACTCTGGGCCCTGGGAGTGTGTGAGGCCTGCAGGTCCTGTCCAGGGCCCGGAAGCCCTGGAGAATGAGGGGTGAGTCTGCTGCAACAGGCCAGGCCAAGGCAGACCTGGAGTTCGATGCCTTCCACGGAGAAGACATCTTCGGCTGAGATCCTGACCTAGGACTGGGTTTTTTATCCTCTGCTTCGGTCAAGTGCCTTGAAAGACTCTGAAAGCTGTCAACCATCTCCCCAGAAAGGTGTGCTCAGCTATACATTTTGCACACACTTTTCAGGCCACTCAGAGACCCCAGGATGAGCCCTTGATTTCCGTGGTTCTGACATCCCAAGTCTGTCCCTGCAGGACTGTCTCTCTGGCGCCACACATCCCACCCCGTCTCTCAAAGGTTTCTCCAACCTCCCTGCCACATCTGTGTATCACGTCGTGCCACGTTAAGAACCCAGAACCTCACAGTCTCTGCTCTGGCGGGTGCTGCCGCGTGACCTTGGACAAGGCCTCGCCACTCTGAGCTTAATGAATTGCCCATGTTTAATGGACTGTCACTAGATTGCTAAGGACTCCCTCCTATGCTCTCTGGTTTCACACTGTCTGCCGTGCTGGCCCTTCCAGAACATCAATGCGGCAAAGTCCAGTTTCCTCCCAGAAGATGAGAAGAGGGAGCTTCTTGATCTGCTCTATAAAGCCTACGGGATGCCACCTTTGGCCTCTGCAGGTATGTTTCTGATGGAGCTGCTGGGCTGGTGCCCTGCCCTGGCTCCCACCTGTCTTTCCAGGGACTTCTAGCAAGATGCCCTCCCTTCCTCTCCTGGGCAGCACCAGGGATGCGTGATGCCTTCCTGGCTGGTGGTCCTCCCTCACTGCACAGGCTCACTTCCTGCATAATGCTGTGAGGCTGGTCTGAGGAGGAGCCTTTCTCAAGCCCCTCCCAAGGTCTTGGCAACTTGGGGCATCTCCAGGGCTGCCCAAAGCCAAGGGCAGGGAGTTGAGCCCAGGGTGCAGCTAGGTTCTGCTTCCTTCCTTCCTGTGTGGCCTTGACAGAGCCTTTCCTTGCTCTAAGCCTCAGTCTCCCCATCTGTAGAAAGAAGTTCCTCTCTGGCTCTGATGTTCTGTGATTTTTTTTTTTAATGTTCTGGGTACTACAAGTTGCCTCACCTTTCTGCTTCTCTTGGCAAGCAGGGCAGTGTCCCTGAAGACATCGTGGCCACCTCTGAGTCCTCACCCTGTGGATGGAGTCCTCACAACTCCCTTTACTCCTTCCAGGGAGACTATGATTTCCAGAGTCAGCTACTGACGCTCGTGAAGCCCACATGCCTGTTTCTGTACACACGTATACCTCCGCCTGGCCGTGTCTCTCCTCTGATTGTGTGCCCGGGCCAGGATCAGGGCCTGTGGCTGGTTGAATCTGAATCCCTCCCTCCTCTGGTAACCTGTGCTGAAAATCTGGTGCTTAATAAAGAAAACAGCAGCTGGGGTTGTGCAGCACGTGGTGTGGGGCGCTGCGGTCAGAGCGGGCCAACTTGGGTTTGTGGAGAACGGAAGGAGCCCCTGGGGCCCCCAGACGCAGGCAGCCTGCCCAGCAGCAGGGTCCCGAGAGCCTGGTGGGCTCTGTGAATGGGAATGGGGGGCAAAGCGGGGCCCAAAGCCTACTCTCCGTCCAGAAGAAACCAGGCTTCTCTTGAAGGCTTATCTGCTTAAATGCTCCCTGAACTCTTAACCCCCTCCTACTCTAGGTCCTAAGTGGGGAAACCTTCCTTTTGTTTGTTCCCAAAGCTGTGAATTGGGGTGAGAGGGTAAGATGGAAGATGATTCTTCAGATACTGGCCTGAGGTGTGGTGCTGGCCTCTGCGGTACCCCGGCATCTTCTCAGGTCCTTCATTCCGTGGAAGCCTGGGGCAGCAATGGGTCCCAGCTAATCATGGCCTTGGGGGAACAAGGCCCAGCCCCTGCTTTTGCTGTTTAAAGGAGAAATAATCATCTTAAACCTATCACACAAATCATCAGCATTTATTTCCTGGGTCCTAGGTGTCACTTATCTTGGTAGAAAGGGCAAAGAGTTAATCAGAGAGTTTTGAGCACAAGATCCCTTCGCTAAAAATGGATCTGTGAAGCTCCATGAGGGAACCTCAGAGCTGCATAGATGGTCAAAGAGTTTAACTTACAATGGCTTCCAAAATAAAAGGTAAATTGTCAGCTCCCTCCCTCTCTGCTGAGAAAAGGTTTAAAGTTTCTAAAAAGTTTAAAAGTGCTTCTTAAAAAAGGGATAAGAAGGTCCTGACACAGAAGGCTGGCTGGGTTGGAGAAGAGGGGGCAGAGCTAGAATGCGGTCCCTGCCCCAGCTGTTCACCCAGGTGGCAGGACCCAGCCCCCGAGTCCCAGCACCTGCTGAATAAATAACATCCTGTGGTTACAGTGTCTTGAAAGTGTACCCGGGCAAGTGAGGAGGTGGTGGGAGCGTGGAGCCTGGGGGTGTGGGCAGAGGGCCTCCCCAGGGTAGGGGCCACGGGAGCCTCTGGGGCTGCCTTTCAGTCTGGCCTGGCTTGCCTGGAACACATTGCTCAGAGGAAAGGCTGCTGGGCCAGTGCCAGGGCTTCCGTCCACGGTGCGTCACTCTTCCAGCCTCCTCGGGCAAGGTCATGTTCAAGATGAGGTGGTCCCATCGCTGCTCTTGGGCTGGTTGCTACCTTCCTTGTCTGGGGTGCCCACCTCCGCCTGTCCTTCTGCAGAGGAGAGAGAAAGGAGCATATATACAAACGTAATGCATAGAAAGAGATCCAGAGGGGCCCAGCCACAGCAGTAACCGTGGATAAGCCCTGGGAAGCAGGACAGGATTGGGGGGTAGTAGCTAAAGGGAACTTTAGCCTAGTCTGTAACATTTTAATTTCTACAAAGAAAATGTGCATGTGCTGTTACTAGTATAATTAAAGTGAAGAAAAGGCCAGGATCATGGATGGATGCTTGTAGCTGGGGAGGGTCAGGATGTTTGTGTGGGGTGTCTAGAGTCCCAGCATGTGCTCAGCAAACAGTAGTTCTTGTAAGACAGAGAAGGGCATCAGAAGATGCCAGCCCAGGGGAGCACCAGGGGTGGCCTGCAGCAGGGGCTGGGGTGGAGCCCATCGCTGTTTCACTGTGCTGTGTCCCCACCAGGCCACCCCCATCTCCCTCTCTGGCCTCTGTCTTTGCATCCTTAGGCTAAGCCCTTCACGTGACTAGGGAGAAACTACCCTGCGCCCAGACCCTGAGGCTGCAGACAGGCAAGTACTTTCCATGCAGTCATACAGCAGCCTGGAGGTGTGATGAGGGTCATGATACGACTCGGATGAGAAAAACAAGGCTCAGAGAGGTGAACCGAGCTGCCTGAGAGCCAAACAGTGGAGGGAGCAGTGTCCCTTCCACTAACCAGAAGGCTGCCGCCTAAAGGAGCGCCCTCTAGGGTTTGTAAACACCCGTCACTGACACCACCTCACTCTGCCCTGGCAGCGGGCTTCAGAGGTGGGGTTAGTGGGAGTGAGGGGTGCAGGGAGAACTTGGACACCTGTGCCTCAGGTCACCTCCTATCATGGGGCAGGGCCTGTAGCAAAGGCCGGGTCCCAGAGGGTCCTGGCCCACTGGAAGCCTGACAAATGAGACTGCACTTCAGGCAGATTCCCCAGTCTGTGATGCCCTACTTGGTCCGAAGCCTCCCGCCCTGGCGAGCAAGAATATTTTCGTTAAATTCCGCAGTAACTGCCGCTCTGCCATTTCCTTGCTGTGGGACCTCAGGTAATTTATTTAATCTCTCCAAGCCTCTGCTTCCTGATCTATGAAGTGAGGATGATGACATCCCTGCCCCTCTGTGGTCACCTGGCACATGGGACAGCTCAGCCAGGGGCAAGGCTTCTTCTGTGCAGGTCCCAGCTCTCTTCTGGCCCACAGAGAGGTCCCCAAGCATTTTCCTCTCCAGCCAGCACCCCTGGGACTCCCTCAGGGAAGTTTCAGGTCACGTGCTGCCAAGCAGTGCGTTCATATTCCTTCAGCCCTGCTGGCTGTTTACGTTTCATTATTCGGCCAGGTAAGGAAACGTTTGTGCTCCCCGCGTAAGGAAACATCAGAGAAGACAAAGGTTTGCACACAAAGGGCTTGGGGAGCGTTAACACACAGGACTTCGGGAGGCCTGGCCGCCAGGCCTCAGGACAGGCCAAGGCTGTGGCCCCTCCTCCCCTGCCCGGGCTCCGCCTCAGTTTCCCAGGAGCTTTAGGCAAACAGAAGTTCCAGGGCCGGCAGGATCAGAACCTGTATTCCCCGTACTCCCACTCCCTCGGTGAGTCCGCTGGACTGAGCACGGCTCGCAGACGTGCCAGTGGAAGGCTCCTCGGCCAGTCACTCTGGCCTGCACTGCGCCAGGAGCACCTCACTGCCTTGCGGTGAGCACTGCTCCTTCCTCAGGTCCCCTTTTAACTGTCCGTCACCCTGGCAGAAGCTGCCAGGACACCAGGTACCTCAGGGATCTCGAATCGGACGGGGGTGGGAGCAGGCATTAGAGGGCCTGGGCAGGTGGATGAGTGGCTACACTGAGTGGAAGGAGCTCGAAAACCGTTCACCAGAGCAGACGCAGATGGCCTGGCAGCAGGCCTGGCATGGCAGCTGGGCGTGCTGGTCAGTGAACAGCCACTGACTAGGCACCTCTGCCGGGTGCCAAACGCCACCAGGCACCGAGGGCCCAGGCTGCGGATCCCAGAGGAGAGGCCCTGTGCCCAGGCGGCTGTGGAGGCGGCCAAGAGAACAGGCGCCTCCCCTGCCAGAGAGGGGAATGACGGCTTCTCAGCAGAGCGGTCTGGCCCCTAAGAAAGAGGAAAAGCCAGCCTGGCAAGGGGAGGGCAGGCAGGACCAGACAGAGGGAGAGTGCGGCAAGGCCCATCAGGGACTTTCAGGAAACAGAAGTCCCTTCCTCAGGCTGGACCAGAGGCGCAGGGGAGAGAGATGGGAGCAGAGGCTGGAGGGGAGCAGGGTGAGACCCGGGGAGGCTCCCACGCCTGGTGAGGAGTTCAGGCCGCAGGACAAGGGAGGGCTGACAGACCGCTGACGGGACGGCACGGGGAGGGAGGGTGGGGTTCCTGGGGGAGCCAGGACTGGTGAGGGATGTTCTAGCAGAGGAAACCGTGAGATGAAGGGGGGTGGATGCAGGGGCAGAAGCACGATGGGACAGGGGATTTAAATGAACCCTGCTGGCAGCTGTCCAGCAAGAGGGCTGGGGCGGGGATGGATCAGGGAGGCCCGGGCAGAGGCCGCTGGGGTGCTGGGAGTGGCCTGAGCCAGGTGGTGGCTGTGGGGACAGAGAGGAGCGGAGGGACTGGGGAGGGACCTTGGAGGAGAACTGACAGGGCCTGTGGGTGGACGGGGAAGCTGAGGGGAAAGGGAAGCACCGGGATGCCTGGCCAGAGGGTCCTCACGGCCTGAGACACTGGCACCCCCTAGCCTAGGGAGTGGCTGCCCTCTGCCACTGACCGTGGGCCTGGGGCCTGATTTAAATGCAGTTTCTTCTCTGAGAAAGAGGGGGCAGGCTAGGACTTATGAGGCCAGTCCCGGAGCCCAGAAGAGGGTCTCCCACCAGGAGTGCTTGAACCCGAGAGTACCCATGGGTTCTGACCTGCGCCCTCGAGGGCTAGCTCGCCCATGTCGCCAGCCAGCTTCCGTACGCTTACGGCCTCGGAGTCTCCCTGGATGTCAGGGACTGCGTTCCGGCGGCCCGTCCGGTCACAGGAGATGAAGTCCGAGTAGGAGGACTCGACCTCCATCATGCCTGTCGCATCACTCTTCAGGCCTGTGGGGACAAGGGCAGGAGCGCAGAGGTAAACCCTGGTGCATCCTGCACAGGGGACTCAGCTTGGGGCCCAGCACTGATGTCTTTTGACAAACCGACAGTTATTGCCTTGCTCGCTGACAACAAAACAGAAAGCACAGAAAAGTAGAAAGAACAAACTAAGTCATGCATAATTTTATACCCCAAAAGCCACCACCAACGTTTTAAAGAACATCTTTTGTGTTTTCTCTAAGTAAAGTTCATGATAACTATCTATACATTTATCAACACCACGTACCAGGCACTGGCTAGGGGCCGCAGATGCAGCAACGAACAAGTCAGCCGTGGTCCTTGCCCTCAGGGAGCTGACAGTCTACTGGGTCATTTAGCGTAATTACCTAATACCTAAGTAATTACCACAGTGCTCCGGACTTCCAGGGAGAAGGCAGGGTACCAGAGTGACTACCAGGGCCTGACCAAGGCTTGGGGGTCAGGAAGTGACATTTTAGTCGAGAACCTAGGAGGAATAGATAGACAAGGAGTCTAGACAAGGAGTGAGGGGAAGAGCACGTATGAAGGCTCTGTGGAGCAAAGGCACAGTGGGATGGAAGAAACGTAAGTGCCGTGGGCTGGGGAACTGTGGGAGAGGGGCCAAGAGGATGCTGCTGAGTTGGGCAGGGGCCCGATCACATCTTCAATTTGGTCCCTGAGGGGTTGAGGCTCATGAATGTTCAGATTAACATTTTCAAAGATGACTCTGGCACCTAAGGTGAGCAGACCTGAATGGGGGCCAGCTAGGGGGCTCCTGCAAAAATTCAGGTGTGAGAAGATGGTGGGTGAAGCAGGGATGGAAGAAGGTATTGCATGCAAAGAGAAATCAAAAGAAAGGGGGAGTAGCAGTACTCATATGAGACGAAACAGACTTTAAAATAAAGGCTGTTATAAGAGACAAAGAAGGAAGGACACTACATAATGATCAAGGACTCAGTCCAAGAAGAATACATAACAATTGTAAATATGTATGCACCCAACATAGGAGCACCTCAATATATAAGGCAAATACTAACAATCATAAAGGGAGAAATCGACAGTAACACGATAGTGGGGGACTGGAACACCCCACTTTCATCAGTGGACAGATCATCCAGACAGAAAATCAATAAAGAAACACAGGCCTTAAATGACACATTAGACCAGATGGACTTAATTGATATCTATAGAGCATTCCATCCCAAAGCAGCAGAATATACATTCTTCTCAAGTGCACATGGAACATTCTCCAGGACTGACCACATGCTGGGCCACAAAGTGAGCCTCGGTAAATTTAAGAAAAGTGAAATCATATCAAGCATCTTTTCCGAGCACAATGCTATGAGATTAGAAATAAACTACAAGAAAAAAACTAAAAAACACAAACACATGGAGGCTACACAATATGCTACTGAACGACCAATGGATCACTGAAGAAATCAAACAGGAAATCAAAAAATACCTAGAGAAAAATGAAAGTGAAAGCACAATGATCCAAAACCTGTGGGTGCAGCAAAAGCAGTTCTAAGAGGGAAGTTGATAGCAATACAATCCTACCTCAAGAAACAGGAAACATCTCAAATTAACAACCTAACCTTACACCTAAAGCAACTAGAAAAAGAAGAACAAATAAAACCTACAGTTAGTAGAAGGAAAGAAATCATAAAGATCAGAGCAGAAATAAATGAAACTAAGAAAAAGAAAACAATATGAAACTAAAAGCTGGTCCTTTGAAAAGATAAACAAAATCTATAAACCTTTAGCCAGACTCATCAAGAAGAAAAGGGAGAGGACTCAAATCAATAAAATGAGAAATAAAAAAGGAGAAGTTACAACCGACACCACAGAAATACAAAGGATCTTAAAAGATTACTAACAGGGACTTCCCTGGTGGTCCAGTAAGACTCCGTGTTCCCAGTGCAGGGGGCCCGGGTTCGATCCCTGGTGAGGGAACTAGATCCCACATGCATGTTGCAATAGAGAAGCCCGCATGCCACAACTAAACATGCCACAACGAAGATCCCGCATACTGCAACTAAGACCCAGTACAGCCTAAAAAAGAAAGAAAAGGACTACTACAAGCAACTGTATGCCAATAAAACAGACAACCTGGAAGAAATGTACAAATTCTTAGAAAGATACAATCTCCCAAGACTGAACCAGGAAGAAATAGAAAATATGAACAGACCCATCACAAGTACTGAAATTGAAACTGTGATTAAAGAACTCCCAACAAACGAAAGTCCAGGACCCAATGGCTTCACAGATGAATTCTATCAAGCATTTAGAGAAGAGCTAACACCTGTCCTGAAACTGTTCCACAAAACTGCAGAGGAAGGAAAACTCCCAAACTCATTCTGTGAGGCCACTATCACCCTGATACCAAAACCAGACAAAGATACCACAAAAAAAGAGAAAATTACAGGACAATATCATTGATGAACACAGACATAAAAATGCTCAACAGAGACTTCCCTGGTGGTGCAGTGGTTAAGAATCTGCCTGCCAACACAGGGAACATGGGTTCGAGCCCTGGTCCGGGAAGATCCCACATGCTGTGGAGCAACTAAGCCCATGTGCCACAACTACTAAGCCTGCACTCTGGAGCCCACGAGCCACAAATACTGAAGCCCACCAGCCTACAGCCTCTGCTCCGCAACAAAGAGAAGCCACTGCTTGCCGCAACTAGAGAAAGCTCGCACGCAGCAACGAAGACCGAGTGCAGCAAAAGAAAAACAAACAAACAAACAAACAAACAAACCACCTCAACAAAATACTAGCAATCTGAATCCAGCAATACATTAAAAGGATCATACACCATGATCAAGTGGGATTTATCCCAGGGATGCAAGGATTTTTCAATATCAGCAAACCAATCAATGTGATAACACCACATCAACAAACTGAAGAATAAAAACCATATGATCATCTCAATAGATGCAGAAAAAGCTTTTAACGAAATTCAACACCCATTTATGATAAAAACTCTCCAGAAAGTGGGCTTAGAGGGAACATACCTCAACATAATAAAGCCATATATGACAAACCTACAGCTAACATCATACTCAACAGTGAAAAGCTAAAAGCACTTCCTCTAAGACCAGGAACAAGAAAGGATGTCCACTCGTGCCACTTTTATTCAACACAGTTTTGGAAGTCCAAGCTACAGCAATCAGAGAAGAAAAAGAAATAAAAGGAATCCAAATTGGAAAAGAGGAGGTAAAACTGTCACTGTTTGCAGATGACATGATACTATACATAGAAAATCCTAAAGACACTACCAGAAAACTACTAGAGCTCATCGATGAATTTGGTAAAGTTGCAGGTTACCAAATTAATACACAGAAATCTGTTGCATTTCTATGAACTAACAATGAAAGATCAGGAAGAGAAATTCAAGAAATAATCCCATTTACCACTGCATCAAAAAGAATAAAATACCTAGGAATAAACCTACCTACGGAGACAAAAGACCTGTACTCCGAAAACTATAAGATGCTGATGAAAGAAATCAAAGACAACACAAACAGATGGAAAGATATACCGTGTTCTTGGATTGAAAGAATCAATACTATCAAAATCACTATACTACCCAAGGCAATCTACAGATTCAATGAAATCCCTATCAAATCACCAATGGCATTTTTCACAGAACTAGAACAAAAAATCTTAAAATTTGTATGGAGACACAAAAGACCCCGAATAGCCAAGGCAATCATGAGAAAGAAAAATCAGGCTCCCTGACTTCGGACTATACTACAAAGCTATAGGCATCAAAACAGTATGGTACTGGCACAGAAATAGAAATATAGATCAATGGAACAGGATAGAAAGCCCAGAAATAAACCCACGCACCTGTGGTCAATTAATCTACGACAAAGGAGGCAAGACTATACAATGGAGGAAAGACAATCTCTTCAATAAATGGTGCTGGGAAAACTGGACAGCTACATGTAAACACATGAAATTAGAATACTCTATAACACTGTACACAGACATAAACTCAAAATGGATTAAAGACCTAAATTTGATACCAGATGCTGTAAAACTCTTAGAGGAAAACATAGGCAGAACACTCTCTGGCATAAATCGCAGCAATATCTTTTTTGATCCATCTCCCAGAGTAATGGAAATAAAAACAAAAATAAATGGGATCTAATTAAATTCAAAAGCTTTTGCACAGCAAAGGAAACCATAAACAAAATGAAAAGACAACCCACAGAATGGGAGAAAATATCTGCAAATGATGTCACCAACAAGGGATTAGTTTCCAAAATTTACAAACAGCTCATGTGGCCTAATATCATCAAAACAAACAACCCCATCAAAAAATGGGCAGAAGATCTAAGTAGACACTTCTCCAAAGAAGACATACAGATGAAGAGGCACATGAAAAGATGTTCAACATTGCTAATTATTAGAGAAATGCAAATCAAAACTATAATGAGATATCACCTCACACCAGTCAGAACGGCTATCATCAAAAAATCCACAAACAACAAATGCTGGAGAGGGTGTGGAGAGAAGGGAACCCTCCTACACTGTTGGTGGGAATGTAAATTAGTGCAGCCACTATGGAAAACAGTATGGAGGTTCCTTAAGAAACTAAAAATTGATCTACCATATGATCCTGCAATCCCACTCCTGGGCATGTACCCAGAGAAAGACATGGTCTGAAAGGATACATGCACCCCAGTATTCACTGCAGCACTGTTGACAATAGCCAAGACATGGAAGCAACCTAAATGCCCATCGACAGAAGAATGGATAAAGAAGATATGGTACATATATACAATGGAATATTACTCAGCCTTTAAAAAGAATGAAATAATGCCATTTGCAACAACATGGATGGACCTAGAGATTGTCATACGGAGTGAAGGAAGTCAGACAGAGAAAGAGAAATATCATATGATATCACTTATATGAGAATCAAAAAAGATACAAATGAACTTATTTATAAAACAGAAACAGACTCACAGATTTAGAGA